GTGCTAAATGTGTTGTAAGGTGTTGAATTTGTGTTAAAGTGCTAAATGTGTCGTAAGGTGTTGAATTTGTTGTAAGGTGTTGAATTTGTTGTAAAGTGCTAAATGTGTTGTAAGGTGTTGAATGTGTTGTAAAGTGCTAAATGTGTTGTAAGGTGTTGAATGTGTTGTAAAGTGCTAAATGTGTTGTAAGGTGTTGAATGTGTTTTAAAGTGCTAAATGTGTTGTAAGGTGTTGAATGTGTTGTAAAGTGCTAAATGTGTTGTAAGGTGTTGAATTTGTTGTAAGGTGCTGAATGTGTTGTAAGGTGTTGAATTTCTTGTAAGGTGCTAAATGTGTTGTAAAGTGCTGAATGTGTTGTAAAGTGCTACATGTGTTGTAAAGTGCTAAATGTGTTGAAAGGTGTTGAATTTGTTGTAAAGTGCTAAATGTGTTGTAAGGTGTTGAATTTGTGTTAAAGTGCTAAATGTGTTGTAAGGTATTGAATTTGTTGTAAGGTGCTGAATGTGTAGTAAGGTGTTGAATTTGTTGTAAAGTGCTAAATTTGTTGAATTTTTGTTAAAGTGCTAAATGTGTTGTAAGGTGTTGAATGTGTTGTAAAGTGCTAAATGTGTTGTAAGATGTTGAATTTGTTGTAAGGTGCTAAATGTGTTGTAAGGTGTTGAATTTGTTGTAAGGTGTTGAATGTGTTGTAAGGTGTTGAATTTTTTTTAAGGTGTTGAATGTGTCGTAAAGTGCTAAATGTGTTGTAAGATGTTGAATGTGTTGTAAGGTGCTAAATGTGTTGTAAGGTGTTGAATTTGTTGTAAGGTGTTGAATGTGTTGTAAAGTGCTGAATGTGTTGTAAAGTGCTACATGTGTTGTAAGGTGCTAAATGTGTTGAAAGGTGTTGAATTTGTTGTAAAGTGCTAAATGTGTTGTAAGGTGTTGAATTTGTGTTAAAGTGCTAAATGTGTTGTAAGGTATTGAATTTGTTGTAAGGTGCTGAATGTTTAGTAAGGTGTTGAATTTGTTGTAAAGTGCTAAATTTGTTGATTTTTTGTTAAAGTGCTAAATGTGTTGTAAGGTGTTGAATGTGTTGTAAAGTGCTAAATGTGTTGTAAGATGTTGAATTTGTTGTAAGGTGCTAAATCTGTTGTAAAGTGCTAAATGTGTTGTAAGGTGTTGAATGTGTTGTAAAGTGCTGAATGTGTTGTAAAGTGCTAAATGTGTTGTAAAGTGCTGAATGTGTATTAAAGTGCTAAATGTGTTGTAAAGTGCTAAATGTGTTGTAAGGTGTTGAATTTGTTGTAAAGTGCTAAATGTGTTGTAAGGTATTGAATGTTTTGTAAAGTGCCAAATGTGTTGTAAGGTGTTGAATGTGTTGTAAAGTGCTAAATGTGTTGTAAGGTGTTGAATTTGTTGTAAAGTGTTAAATGTGTTGTAAGGTGTTGAATTTGTTGTAAAGTGCTAAATGTGTTGTAAGGTGTTGAATTTGTGTTAAAGTGCTAAATGTGTTGTAAGGTGTTGAATTTGTGTTAAAGTGCTAAATGTGTCGTAAGGTGTTGAATTTGTTGTAAGGTGTTGTATTTGTTGTAAAGTGCTAAATGTGTTGTAAGGTGTTGAATGTGTTGTAAAGTGCTAAATGTGTTGTAAGGTGTTGAATGTGTTGTAAAGTGCTAAATGTGTTGTAAGGTGTTGAATGTGTTTTAAAGTGCTAAATGTGTTGTAAGGTGTTGAATGTGTTTGTAAAGTGCTAAATGTGTTGTAAGGTGTTGAATTTGTTGTAAGGTGCTGAATGTGTTGTAAGGTGTTGAATTTCTTGTAAGGTGCTAAATGTGTTGTAAAGTGCTGAATGTGTTGTAAAGTGCTACATGTGTTGTAAAGTGCTAAATGTGTTGAAAGGTGTTGAATTTGTTGTAAAGTGCTAAATGTGTTGTAAGGTGTTGAATTTGTGTTAAAGTGCTAAATGTGCTGTAAGGTATTGAATTTGTTGTAAGGTGCTGAATGTGTAGTAAGGTGTTGAATTTGTTGTAAAGTGCTAAATTTGTTGAATTTTTGTTAAAGTGCTAAATGTGTTGTAAGGTGTTGAATGTGTTGTAAAGTGCTAAATGTGTTGTAAGATGTTGAATTTGTTGTAAGGTGCTAAATGTGTTGTAAGGTGTTGAATTTGTTTGTAAGGTGTTGAATGTGTTGTAAGGTGTTGAATTTGTTTTAAGGTGTTGAATGTGTCGTAAAGTGCTAAATGTGTTGTAAGATGTTGAATGTGTTGTAAGGTGCTAAATGTGTTGTAAGGTGTTGAATTTGTTGTAAGGTGTTGAATGTGTTGTAAAGTGCTAAATGTGTTGTAAGGTGTTGAATTTGTTGTAAGGTGTTGAATGTGTTGTAAAGTGCTAAATGTGTTGTAAGGTGTTGAATGTGTTGTAAAGTGCTAAATGTGTTGTAAGGTGTTGAATTTGTTGTAAGGTGCTGAATGTGTTGTAAGGTGTTGAATTTGTTGTAAAGTGCTAAATTTGTTTTAAGGTGTTGAATTTGTTGTAAAGTGCTAAATGTGTTGTAAGGTGTTGAATGTGTTGTACAGTGCTAAATGTGTTGTAAGGTGTTGAATTTGTTGTAAGGTGCTAAATGTGTTGTACGGTGTTTAATTTGTTGTAAAGTGCTAAATGTGTTGTAAGGTGTTGAATGTGTTGTAAAGTGCTAAATGTGTTGTAAGGTGTTGAATGTGTTGTAAAGTGCTAAATGTGTTGTAAGGTGTTGAATGTGTTGTAAAGTGCTAAATGTGTTGTAAGGTGTTGAATGTGTTGTAAAGTGCTAAATGTGTTGTAAGGTGTTGAATTTGTTGTAAGGTGCTGAATGTGTTGTAAAGTGCTGAATGTGTTGTAAATGTGCTACATGTGTTGTAAAGTGCTAAATGTGTTGAAAGGTGTTGAATTTGTTGTAAAGTGCTAAATGTGTTGTAAGGTGTTGAATTTGTGTTAAAGTGCTAAATGTGTTGTAAGGTATTGAATTTGTTGTAAGGTGCTGAATGTGTAGTAAGGTGTTGAATTTGTTTGTAAAGTAATAAATTTGTTGAATTTTTGTTAAAGTGCTAAATGTGTTGTAAGGTGTTGAATGTGTTGTAAAGTGCTAAATGTGTTGTAAGATGTTGAATTTGTTGTAAGGTGCTAAATGTGTTGTAAGGTGTTGAATTGTTGTAAGGTCTTGAATGTGTTGTAAGGTGTTGAATTTGTTTTAAGGTGTTGAATGTGTCGTAAAGTGCTAAATGTGTTGTAAGATGTTGAATGTGTTGTAAGATGCTAAATGTGTTGTAAGGTGTTGAATTTGTTGTAAGGTGTTGAATGTGTTGTAAAGTGCTAAATGTGTTGTAAGGTGTTGAATTTGTTGTAAGGTGTTGAATGTGTTGTAAAGTGCTAAATGTGTTGTAAGGTGTTGAATGTGTTGTAAAGTGCTAAAATGTGTTGTAAGGTGTTGAATTTGTTGTAAGGTGCTGAATGTGTTGTAAGGTGTTGAATTTGTTGTAAAGTGCTAAATTTGTTTTAAGGTGTTGAATTTGTTGTAAAGTGCTAAATGTGTTGTAATGTGTGGTAAAAGTGTGTTGAATGTGTTGTAAGTAAAGTGCTAAATGTGTTGTAAAAGTGGTGTTGAATTTTGTTGTAGTAAGGTGCTAAATTTGTGGTGGACAGTTTGATCATTTACAGGTGCAAAGTAAGTTAGCTCAAAGAGCCTTTTAGGCTGTTGGATGGTTATCTATGGATTGGAGACAATGGCGTTTTTGATGCCTTGAACCTTGTCATTGAAAAAATGTGCAAACTCATTGCATTTACGTTTGGAAGTAAGCTCTAATGGCATTTGAACAGGGGGGTTTGTTAATCTATTAACTGTTGAGAACAGAACACGCAGATTGTTGCTGCAGCCTTCAATCATTTCAGAAAAATACCTTTTCTCTCGTACTACGTAGCACCCGGTTAAACTCGCACAACTTATCTTTGAAGATCTCGTAATCAACCTGGAGGTTGGACTTGCGCCACTTCCGCTCGGCCCTCCGGCACTTTCTCTTTTGTGCCCTGACCGAGTCTGCTTTAGCCCACGGCGCCTTCTGCTTATTTTTCACTGTTTTAACCTTCACAGGAGCGATGGTGTCCAGAACATTCAAAACACTAGAGGTGACAGAGTTAAACAGTTCATCTACAGTAGAATACGATGCATTCTCAAAGTTTATCATTCCCATAAATAGTTCACCCGTATTTTCATTTATGTGTCTTCTTCGTACAGTTGCAGAGTCCACTGGTGGTTTGTTAGTGAAACACATGTCAAAAAATACACAAAAATGATCCGAAAGCGCAACATCGACCACGTTTACATTTGAAATATTCACCCCCTTAGTAACTAACAGGTCTAGAGTGTGCCCTCTGCTGTGGGTGGGGCCACTCACATGCTGAGTGAGACCAAAAGATTCAAGAACAGAACTCAGCTCTTTTGCCTTTCTGTCAATAACATTATCCACAGGAATATTAAAATCCCCTGTAATAACTAAGCTATCAAAATCTGTGCATAAAACTGAAAGAAACTCCGTAAGATTATCAATAAATCTGTGACATGACTGCGGTGGCTTGTATAGGACAATGAAGAGTATTGGACTAGATTGTTTTTGTTGTATTTTAAAAGACACATATTCAAAAGACGGAAACTTCCCAAGAGACATTCTATGGGAGACAAAGTGGTCTCTAAAAATGGCAGCTAAGCCTCCTCCTTTTTTGTTTCCCCGTATTTCAGATTCAAATTTGAAATTTGGTGGTGATGCTTCTATTAAAACTGCATTTTCTGTATTTTGGTCAAGCCATGTTTCAGCCATGAACATAAGATCTAGATTATAAGAACAAATAAAATTATTGATTAAAAAAGACTTGTTACAAAGAGATCTGACATTTAGCATAGCAAGTTTCAAAGTTTCAGTATATACAATAAAACACATTCTTATTATGTTTCTGATTGGGCAGAGGAGGAGGCGCAGAGGAGGAGCAAACCTGGACTTGTTGGATGTACTTGGGCAGGATCTCGGCCACATACTCTCCAAAGGCTGCCAGCTGGTTGTGCACCACAGAGTCTGCCGGACGCACTGTGGCTGCAGGAGGAGCAGCAGGAGGAGCAGCAGGAGGAGCAGCAGGAGGAGCAGGAGGAGCACAGGGAGAGAGGGTTCAGATCATTATCAGAAGAAAGATACTCACACTATAAAACACTGAAGATACCAGAGAATGTGGCTGGAAATTACACATAAAAAGGAGTTTGACAGAGCAGCAAAACAAATAAAAAAAACAGTAAAAGCTACAACACTCATGTCACTCACATTTTAAGAATTGGCCTTAAATGTTGATATTTAAAGTATTACATAAAGTCATTTTATTAATTATAATTTTACGGGTATGTCCTGCCTTCTTTAATCTCAGTAATGGCGCAAAAACCATGGCGCCTCCAAATCAAGCCGCCACCATTAGTCCCAAGTGCAGTCATGGATCAACACTCAGCTCAAGACCTCTCATGTACCTCTCGCTCTTTTTTCTGACAAAGTCCAGACTATCACTTTAAAAGCGCCTTTCAAAACACACAAGTACACTGTACAAACATGGTTGAAAACAGAGTGGAGTGGACTTTAAAAAACATAACAGAACTGGACAGAGGTGTTGGGGGTGACTGGTCATGTGGGGAAAGAAAGTCTGAAAAGGAGAGTTTTGAGTCTGGATTTGAACAGGGGGAGAGAGTCTGTGTTGCGGAGGTCAGGGGGGAGTGAGTTCCAGAGCTGGGGAGCAGAGCGGCTGAATGCTCTACCCCCCCATGGTGATGAGGAGGAGAGAGGAGGACAGACATCTGGAAAGAGGAGGAGGAGTGGAGGGTATGAGAGGGTGTGTGGTGATGTGGAGGAGGTCAGGTGTGGAGCCAGGATCACCTTTAAACCAGCTCAGTATTTTAAGCAAAGGCCATAAATGTAAATAAAAACACAGTAACAATTGTGCTAAAACCAACGATTAAACGTGGGATTTTATTTGTTTTATCTTTTTGACAGCTCTGGTAATAACGGCATCCAAACAGTTTTTGTTTTAGAATATATTTTTTCCTGTATTGATCATTCAGACGTCATAAATCTCTTCAAACCAGTGAGATATTCCATGTATCTTAGCCACAAAACAGAAGAGAGAGACGTGAAGAGGAGCAGAGGGGGCAGTGAGGAGGGACCTACGTTTGTTGTGGGAGCTCTGGTTCCGATTCTGGGCTTGGACCACGCACTGGGCCTGTCTGAAACCTGCAACACACACAGAGGAGTCAGCAACACAACCACCACAACACACTAGGCATGTCTGAAACCTCAGCTCATAAACAGAACTTTGCATCATCCAGCCAACTTCAGCGCCACCAATATAGAGACGCTATACCTCTATGTGAAGATCAGAACCTATGGAATTCATTTACTTATCTACTGACAAATATCTCCCAAAATAACTAATAAACTTCTGTCATATGTGAATCAATTTGGACTTTTCATAAAAAACAGAACCGAACAGCCATATTCTGTTGACGGCCCCTGGACAAGTCTGGTAAACTAAACTAAAGTGGCCTCTTACTGCTACTTTAGTGACACCAGCTGAAGTATAATATAAATATTTAAGATAAGATAAACTTTATTGATCTCACAACAGAAGAAAATACAAAACCTAATGTTCTTTTCCTCAAATATAGAGTTTGTATGGCCTTAAATTTTGCTCCTTCAAGTTTAATTGGTTTGGTTTGTTATGTTTTTATTTTTACAGGGACAGTGTACAATAAATATGAGTCAAAAGGAGAGATGGTAGCATGGACCCAGAGCAGGTTGTTGTCAAACTGTAAAATAAAAGTAAATTGATAGTGTTTTTGATACAATTCCTTTTTAATGACTTGTAATGCCTGTAATGACAACTTTTTCCTCATACTTTCTTATATCTATGTAACTCTGGGGACAGCCCTTGCAGCTAGCATCACATTAGCATTAGCCGAAGGTCATCACGTCTGTGCTCGGCCCGCTCCCGGTGTCCTGTCCCCCGCAGAGACAGAGGCAGGAGCCGGTGTCCCGTGAGCACCACACGGTTCCTCACATGTACACGTAGACACACACATGCACAGTCCTCACCCGTTATGGTTCGGCTGACTCCCCCTCGCAGGCTCCGCAGCAGTGAGGCCGCCATCTTGGTTCTGCGCTGACTCTGGCTCCACAGCGCCCCCTGCTGCTGCTTCGTCTGCAGCACCAGAGAGTTACAAAAGAAAGGATAACGATTCTATGCAAGTGCGAGTTTTATAAATGAGTCTAATATCATTACAGCACTTTAATGATAGTGCACATAAGAGACCCTGTATGTTTTCACTTTTTAACATGTGTGTACCCTTCCTGAGAAACTAAACTGAATCTGATTGAGTAACAGCCTTTCTGAGGGGAGTTTGCATGTTCTCCCCGTGTCTGCGTATTTCCTCCAGGTACTCCGGTTTCCCCTACCACAAAAAATATGTTCGATAGGCCTGGCATGCGCTGTCTGTACTGGCGACCTCACTCCCCTCTCTGTGTGGAGTGAGAGGACAAATGCCCAAAAAAATAAAACCAATTACAATTGTAAACCGCTTTGTGACTCTGGTCTGTGAAAGGCGGTATATAAATAAAGATTACTTATTTACTTACTTACTTAACAGTAGTTATCTCAGAGGACTTTACAAAGCTGTCGATTCGCCAACACAGATCAGAGAATCAAACAGATCCAACACAAGAAATGCAATGATAAAAACACACAGAGCCATGAGTCCAAAAGGGGCTTCTTTTTTTTGGCATTGAAACAGTGTAAAGTAAAAATACTTAGTCTCTCTCTCTCTCTCTCTCTCTCTCTCTCTCTCTCTCTCTCTCTCTCTCTCTCTCTCTCTCTCTCTCTCTCTCTGTGTGCTCAGGCTCAGGGCGCCCTCTAGTGGTGCTTCAGTGCATTGTGATACCTTGGACAGCTCCATTCTAAAGACCACAACAATTTTCCTGAATGCCTTCAACTGTGAGTAACGGCACGGCACTAATACTACTCTGAGCATTTTCAATCTCTGAGGGTAACTGTACCTCCTCATCAACAAGATATGGGGTACCGCAAGGGTCCATCCTCGGCCCAGTACTCTTCCCAACTAAAAGAGAATGTCAATATTTCATACCACTTTTGGGCAGATGATACACAATTATAACTTCCTATTGATTCCTAAAATTTGAGCTCCTCTAAATGAGTGGCAGGTCGTGCATTTCAGACCTGCGCCTGCAGTGATGCCCCACCTCACCTCTACCCTTTTAGTGCCACGGACCAGCATCCAAACCCCTTCGCCTCCTTCAACCATAGTGAGTTGAAAAAACTATAATAACTTGTTGCACTGGCCTTGAGGGATGCAAATTTGATGTTGATTTATTAATGTTGTATGTTTTTTTTGTAGACTTTTACATTCTGAAGCTGTGAGGCAGACTTTGGGCCCTGGCAACACATGAAGCTGAGTTATTATTGGATAAAAACTCCAAAATAAATGCCAGCCATATTCTTATTCACTAACCAGGCTATGATATGAGACATGAAGATGAAAGAAAAGTTCTGCAGCTTCTTTCACTGTTCACATTTTATTTCACATTTGAGGACATGTTTTAGTGCATGCAGCAGATATCACATGGAACACACACACACTGGACACAGGGGGGTCAGGTATCAGTGCTCAGGCCTGTGCTCGCTCACTGCCTTTACATGGGACCCAAATATGGACCTCCCCTACAACTGTTCGCAAACAAACGTATATATGTCCTTTTTCAGGCCGCTCTGAAGACAAAGTACATGCAGTCTCTGGGGCCCCTACTGACAAACCAGAAAACTCTATTACTCTAACTATGTTCTCCATAGAATCATGGCGGTTCACATCTGTGTGCTGAACTTCCTGGTTCTGTCCTTCACACTCCCAGTTCTGTCCCGCATGCGCACAGGCTGATCCCGAACCAGGAAGTACAATCACATTAGTCCTGGTCTCAGGTCTTTGCTTCCGCTGGCTCAGGGAATAGACTTTAAAACAGCTCTTTCTCTCCATGGCCTTGCACCAAAATACATCTGTGGCATCTTAGTGGCATATGAACCAACTCCAAGGTGCACAGGGACCGGCCTCCTGCTGGGACTCTGAGGAGCACAGGGGCCGGCCTCCTGCTGGGACTCTGAGGAGCACAGGGGCCGGCCTCCTGCTGGGACTCTGAGGAGCACAGGGACCGGCCTCCTGCTGGGACTCTGAGGAGCACAGGGGCCGGCCTCCTGCTGGGACTCTGAGGAGCACAGGGGCCGGCCTCCTGCTGGGACTCTGAGGAGCACAGGGGCCGGCCTCCTGCTGAGACTCTGAGGAGCACAGGGGCCGGCCTCCTGCTGGGACTCTGAGGAGCACAGGGGCCGGCCTCCTGTTGGGACTCTGAGGAGCACAGGGACTGGCCTCCTGCTGGGACTCTGAGGAGCACAGGGGCCGGCCTCCTGCTGGGACTCTGAGGAGCACAGGGACTGGCCTGTGGAATTTTATCTTTACCCTTGTCTTGTTTATATCTGGTTGTGTTAAGCACTTTGAGTTGCCTTGTTTTTTTAACTGTGGTATACAAATAAACCTCACCTCTGCATGAGACCGTGCAGACAGGAGACTCGTGCACACGCGTCTCTCTCCTGTGGCAGTAGAATATAACGTCCCACGCAGACGCAGTGAGAGTGGGGGGCAGGACACACACACAAACACAGATTCACAGTTTAATCACTTACTGTCTATAATGTTTTCCCTGATCTTCTGACATTTTAACGTGAGAAATGTATACGACACATGATCCGGTTGCTCAGGTTGTGCTCTTTGTGAAACAGTTAGAAAACAAACGGGAAACAATAATGTGCTACTCAGTTTTGGGGGAATAAAGAACCTTACGAATTTAGGACGACAGACGTGTCCTTTTGATCTCAAGAAGAAGACCCGTTGTGCTCTGGTCGGCTTTAGGCCTAGACTTATAGAACTTATTTAGAATAATCAAATCTCATTAAAGACTTATAAAAGATAAGAGTCTGCTGTCGTTGTGCGGCTGACTGTGCAGATGACATCCGTAATTTCTGGAATATTTCACGCCACATTGATCCTTGCGGCTTATATAGCGATGAGGCTAATATGTGTATTTTGTTATTGTGGTAGAGTTGTCGGAGCAGAGTTTATGGACTAATCATTCTCACTCCATCAAGTTTTAGTGGCTACAGGACACTGGATTATTGTCAGAATAGATAAAGGTGAAGAAGTATCAGTATGGGAGCAAACGGTTATTTCTTTAAAAGTGTAGGTGTTTCGGCTAATATACGGGCGCGCCTTATAGTCCAGAAAGTACAATTATACAAAAAAATTGGTCATAGGGACTCACCCTCATTTATGGTCATGAGCTTTGGGAGCTGAGGATGGTGAAGGAGCTCAGAGTCGAGCCGCTGCCCCTCCACATGGAGAGGAGCCAGGGCTAGGTATCTGTTAGGGTTAGGGTTAGTTGGCTGTTAATTGCCACATACTGTAAATACTTGTATATATGTGCACACCTTATGACTGTGTGCTGTGCATGTAAACAGAGACGCATGGAACCTGCCCTTGTGCCTTTGAGCCGCACACCTCAGTCCCATCAGACACCTACATTCACAGGTCACAATGATGAGTGGAAGATTGCGATTCATGATTATTACAGTGCGCTGAGTTCAGTTCGGTCACTTCTCCTTCTGCCCATCCTCTACAGACATATGGGGAAGGTTCGCAGCTCTAGCGCCTCCCAGTGGCGGGCTCGGGGTAGACCAGGAAGCCGCTGAAGTTGATGTATTTGGCGTGGTTGCTGTACGCGCCGAAGCCCTGGCTCTGGTGCGAGTAGAGCCACACGGTGTCGCCGCGCTTCAGCGACAGCATCAGACTCTGGCTCTGCAGCGCCCTCTGCCCGCGGCTGTCGTCATAGATCATGGTCTGCACCTCCATGGCGTTCTTCATCAGCTTCACCTGAAATACAAGGATCTGTTTTCATATCTGAGTACGGCCTGTTGCTACTTCAGCCCATCACGAGCAGTGTTGGGCAAGTTACTTCAAAAACATAATCCATGATGTGTTACTTGTTACTGATATTTCAAACTTACTGTAATGTTACTGTCTCTGAATTGTAAAACATTACACTACTAGTACTAGCATTACTTTGAAGTTACTTTACCCAACCATATAGGTACAAAATAAATATAGCTTAGATAGATAGATACAGTAGATACTTTATTAATGCCCAAAGGAAAAATTCTAGTGTCCAAAAATAAAAAAATAAAATTGATAATTCTAAAAAGCTAACAGTAGTAACTAGAAATGGTACAATGGCTGAAGCCATTGTGAGTGGCTGCATAGATGTTGGAAGGGTTAGGGATGAAGAAGAAAGAGGAAGGGGAAGAAGAAGGAAGAAGAAAGAAAAGGGAAGAAGAGGAAGGAGAGGAAGAAGAGGAGGAAGGGGAAGAAGAGGAAGAAGGGGAAGAAGAGGAAGAAGGGGAAGAAGGGGAAGATGAAGTAGGAAGAATGTGTTGTAATGTGCTGAATGTGTTGTAAAGTGCTGAATGTGTTGTAAGGTGTTGAATTTGTTGTAAGGTGCTGAATGTGTTGTAAGGTGTTGAATGTGTTGTAAAGTGCTAAATGTGTTGTAAGGTGTTGAATTTGTTGTAAGGTGTTGAATGTGTTGTAAAGTGCTAAATGTGTTGTAAGGTGTTGAATTTGTTGTAAGGTGCTAAATGTGTTGTAAGGTGTTAAATTTGTTGTAAAGTGCTAGATGTGTTGTAAGGTGTTGAATTTGTTGTAAAGTGCTAAATGTGTTGTAAGGTGCTATAAGTGTTGTAAGATGTTGTAATGTATTGTATCTGTGGTAATGAATTGTTAGTGTGGTAATGTGTTGTATGGGGAGTAATCTGTTGTACTGGGCCAATGTAAGTCTATGGGAAAAAGTGCTTGAACTTTTGTTAATATTTGAAAAAGTGCTAAAGGTGGAAGTGTAAAAAGTAATAGCAATAATGAGACGGTGAAGCCGGTCGTAACGATGTATAATTTGTTGAATTTGGTGAAAGCGTTGAAGAGTTGAAAAGTGCCAAAATCTGGCGGAAGTGGAAGAAGAAGAACTAGAAATGGTACAATGGCTGAAGCCATTGTGAGTGGCTGCATAGATGTTGGAAGGGTTAGGGATGAAGAAGGAAGAGGAAGGGGAAGAAGAAGGAAGAATAAGAAAGAAAAGGGAAGAAGAGGAAAGAAGAAGAAAGAAGAAGGGGAAGAAGGGGAAGAAGAAGAAGAAGAGGAAGAAGGGGAAGAAGAGGAAGAAGAGAAGAAGGGGAAGAAGGGGAAGAAGAAGAAGAAGAGAAGAAGGGGAAGAAGGGGAAGAAGAAGAAGAAGGGGAAGAAGGGGAAGAAGAGGAAGAAGAGGAAGAAGGGGAAGAAGGGGAAGAAGAGGAAGAAGAGTCGAAGGGGAAGAAGGGGAAGAAGATGAAGAGAAAGGGGAAGAAGGGGAAGAAGTGAAGAAGAATGTGTTGTAAGATGTTGAATGTGTTGTAAGGTGCTAAATGTGTTGTAAGATGTTGAATGTGTTGTAAGATGTTGAATGTGTTGTAAGGTGCTAAATGTGTTGTAAGATGTTGAATGTGTTGTAAGGTGCTAAATGTGTTGTAAGGTGTTGAATGTGTTGTAAAGTGCTAAATATGTTTTAAGGTGTTGAATTTGTTGTAAGGTGCTGAATGTGTTGTAAGGGGTTGAATTTGTTGTAAAGTGCTAAATGTGTTGTAAGGTGTTGAATTTGTTGTAAAGTGCTAAATGTGTTGTAAGGTGCTGTAAGTGTTGTAAGATGTTGCAATGTATTGTATCTGTGGTAATGAATTGTTAGCGTGGTAATGTGTTGTATGGGGAGTAATCTGTTGTACTGGTCCAATGTAAGTCAATGGGAAAAAGTGCTTGAACTTTTGTTAATATCTGAAAAAGTGCTAAAGGTGGAAGTGTGAAAAGTAATAGCAATAATGAGACGGTGAAGCCGGTCGTAACGATGTATAATTTGTTGAATTTGGTGAAAGCGTTGAAGAGTTGAAAAGTGCCAAAATCTGGCGGAAGTGGAAGAAGAAGAAGAAGAAGAAGAAGAACTAGAAATGGTACAATGGCTGAAGCCATTGTGAGTGGCTGCATAGATGTTGGAAGGGTTAGGGATGAAGAAGGAAGAGGAAGGGGAAGAGGAAGGAAGAAGAAAGAAAAGGGAAGAAGAGGAAAGAAGAAGAAGGAAGAGGAGGAGGAAGAAGAAGAAGGGAAGAAGAAGAAGTAGAGGAAGAAGGTGAAGAAGAGGAAGAAGGGGAAGAAGAGGAAGAAGGGGAAGAAGAGGAACTAGAAATGGTACAATGGCTGAAGCCATTGTGAGTGGCTGCATAGATGTTGGAAGGGTTAGGGATGAAGAAGGAAGAAGAAGGAAGAAGAAAGAAAAGGGAAGAAGAGGAAAGACAAAGAAGGAAGAGGAGGAGGAAGAAGAAGAAGGGGAAGAAGGAGAAGAAGAGGAAGAAGGGGAAGAAGAGGAAAAGGGGAAGAAGAGGAAGAAGAGGAAGAAGAGGAAGAAGGGGAAGAAGAGGAAAAAGGGGAAGAAGAGGAAGAAGAGCAAGAAGAGGAAAAAGGGGAAGAAGAGGAAGAAGGGGAAGAAGAGGAAAAAGGGAAAGAAGAGGAAGAACAGGAAGAAGAGGAAGAAGGGGAAGAAGAGGAAGAAGAGGAAGAAGGGGAAGAAGAGGAAGAAGGGGAAGAACAGGAAGATGAGGAAGAAGAGGAAGAAGGGGAAGAAGGGAAAGAAGAGGAAGAAGGGGAAGAAGAGGAAGAAGTAAGAAGAATGTGTTGTAAGGGACTGAAAGTGTTGTAAAGTGCTAAATACGTTGTAAAGTGCTAAATGTGTTGAAAGGTGTTGAATTTGTTGTAAAGTGCTAAATGTGTTGTAAGGTGTTGAATTTGTTGTAAAGTGCTAAATGTGTTGTAAGGTATTGAATTTGTTTTAAGGTGTTGAATGTGTTGTAAAATGCTAAATGTGTTGAATTTGTTGTAAAGTGCTAAATGTGTTGTACAGTGTTGAATTTGTTGTAAGGTGTTGAATTTGTTGTAAAGTGCTAAATGTGTTGTAAGGTGTTGAATTTGTTGTAAAGTGCTAAATGTGTTGTAAGGTGTTGAATTAGTTTTAAAGTGCTAAATGTGTTGTAAGGTGCCGTAAGTGTTGTAAGATGTTGTAATGTATTGTATCTGTGGTAATGAATTGTTAGTGTGGTAATGTGTTGTATGGGGAGTAATCTGTTGTACTGGTCCAATGTAAGTCTATGGGAAAAAGTGCTTGAACTTTTGTTAATATCTGAAAAAGTGCTAAAGGTGGAAGTGTGAAAAGTAATAGCAATAATGAGACGGTGAAGCCGGTCGTAACGATGTATAATTTGTTGAATTTGGTGAAAGCGTTGAAGAGCTGAAAAGTGCCAAAATCTGGCGGAAGTGGAAGAAGAAGAAGAAGAAGAAGAAGAAGAAGAAGAAGAAGAAGAAGAAGAAGAAGAAGAATAAACAGTAGGAGAGCATATAGTGGCTGCATAGTCTATGCAGCCACTCAAAAAGGGGAAGAAGAGGAAGAAGGGGAAGAACAGGAAGAACAGGAAGAAGGGGAAGAAGGGGAAGAAGAGGAAGAAGGGGAAAGAGGAAAAAGGGGAAGAAGAGGAAAAAGGGGAAGAAGAGGAAGAAGAGGAATAAGGGGAAGAACAGGAAGAAGAGGAAGAAGGGGAAGAAGAGGAAAAAGGGGAAGAAGAGGAAGAAGGGGAAGAACAGGAAGAACAGGAAGAAGGGGAAGAAGGGAAAGAAGAGGAAGAAGTGAAGAAGTAAGAAGAATGTGTTGTAAGGGACTGAAAGTGTTGTAAAATGCTGAATGTGTTGTAAAGTGCTAAATGTGTTGTAAAGTGCTAAATACATTGTAAAGTGCTAAATGTGTTGAAAGGTGTTGAATTTGTTGTAAAGTGCTAAATGTGTTGTAAAATGCTAAATATGTTGTAAAGTGCTAAATGTGTTGTAAAGTGCTAAATACATTGTAAAGTGCTAAATGTGTTGAAAGGTGTTGAATTTGTTGTAAAGTGCTTAATGTGTTGTAAGGTGCTGTAAGTGTTGTAAAGTACTAACTGTGTTGTAAGGTGTTGAATGTGTTGTAAAGTGCTAAATGTGTTGTAAGGTGTTGAATTTGTTGTAAGGTGCTGAATGTGTTGTAAGGTGTTGAATGTGTTGTAAAGTGCTAAATGTGTTGTAAGGTGTTGAATTTGTTGTAAAGTGCTAAATGTGTTGTAAGGTGTTGAATTTGTTTTAAGGTATTAAATTTGTTGTAAAGTGCTAAATGTGTTGTAAGGTGTTGAATGTGTTGTAAAGTGCTAAATGTGTTGTAAGGTGTTGAATTTGTTGTAAGGTGCTGAATGTGTTGTAAGGTGTTGAATGTGTTGTAAAGTGCTAAATGTGTTGTAAGGTGTTGAATTTGTTGTAAAGTGCTAAATGTGTTGTAAGGTGTTGAATTTGTTGTAAAGTGCTAAATGTGTTGTAAGGTGTTGAATGTGTTGTAAAGTGCTAAATGTGTTGTAAAGTGCTGAATGTGTTGTAAAGTGCTAACTGTGTTGTAAGGTGTTGAATGTGTTGTAAAGTGCTAAATGTGTTGTAAGGTGTTGAATTTGTTGTAAAGTGCTAACTGTGTTGTAAGGTATTGAATTTGTTGTAAGGTATTGAATGTTTTGTAAAGTAATAAATGTGTTGTAAAGTGCTAAATGTGTTGTAAGTTGTTGAATTTGTTGTAAAGTGCTAAATGTGTTGTAAGGTGTTGAATGTGTTGTAAAGTGCTAAATGTGTTGTAAGGTGTTGAATGTGCTGTAAAGTGCTAAATGTGTTGTAAGGTGTTGAATGTGTTGTAAAGTGCTAAATGTGTTGTAAGGTGTTGAATTTGTTGTAAAGTGCTAAATGTGTTGTAAGGTGTTGAATTTGTTGTAAGGTGCTAAATGTGTTGTAAGGTGTTGAATTTGTTGTAAAGTGCTAAATGTGTTGAATTTTTGTTAAAGTGCTAAATGTGTTGTAAGGTGTTGAATTTGTTGTAAAGTGCTAAATGTGTTGTAAGGTGTTGAATTTGTTGTAAAGTGCTAAATGTGTTGTAAAGTGCTGAATGTGTTGTAAGTTGTTGAATTTGTTGTAAAGTGCTAAATGTGTTGTAAGGTGTTGAATTTGTTGTAAAGTGCTAAATGTGTTGTAAGGTGCTGTAAGTGTTGTAAGGTGCTGTAAGTGTTGTAAGGTGCTGTAAGTGTTGTAAGATGTTGTAATGTATTGTATCTGTGGTAATGAATTGTTAGTGTGGTTATGTGTTGTATGGGGAGTAATCTGTTGTACTGGTCCAATGTAAGTCTATGGGAAAAAGTGCTTGAACTTTTGTTAATATCTGAAAAAGTGCTAAAGGTGGAAGTGTGAAAAGTAATAGCAATAATGAGACGGTGAAGCCGGTCGTAACGATGTATAATTTGTTGAATTTGGTGAAAGCGTTGAAGAGTTGAAAAGTGCCAAAATCTGGCGGAAGTGGAAGAAGAAGAAGAAGAAGAAGAACTAGAAATGGTACAATGGCTGAAGCCATTGTGAGTGGCTGCATAGATGTTGGAAGGGTTATGGGTGAAGAAGGAAGAGGAAGGGGAAGAAGAAGGAAGAAGAAGATAGAAAAGGGAAGAAGAGGAAAGAAGAAGAAGGGGAAGAAGAAGAGGAAGAAGGGGAAAAAGGGGAAGAAGAGGAAGCAGGGGAAGAAGAGGAAGAAGGGGAAGAAGAGGATGAAGGGGAAGAAGAGGAAGAAGGGGAAGAAGGGGAAGAAGAGGAAGAAGAGGAAGAAGGGGAAGAAGTGAAGAAGATGAAATTAGAAGAATGTGTTGTAAAGGGCTGAAAGTGTTGAACGTGTTGTAAAGTGTTGAATTTGTTGTAAGGTGCTAAATGTGTTGTAAGGTGTTGAATGTGTTGTAAAGTGCTAAATGTGTTGTAAAGTGTTGAATTTGTTGTAAGGTGCTTAATGTGTTGTAAGGTGTTGAATGTGTTGTAAAGTGCTAAATGTGTTGTAAGGTGTTGAATGTGTTGTAAAGTGCTAAATGTGTTGTAAGATGTTGAATTTGTGTTAAAGTGCTAAATGTGTTGTAAAGTGTTGAATTTGTTGTAAGGTGCTTAATGTGTTGTAAGGTGTTGAATGTGTTGTAAAGTGCTAAATGTGTTGTAAGGTGTTGAATGTGTTGTAAAGTGCTAAATGTGTTGTAAGATGTTGAATTTGTGTTAAAGTGCTAAATGTGTTGTAAGGTGTTGAATTTGTTGTAAAGTGCTAAATGTGTTGTAAGGTGTTGAATTTGTTGTAAAGTGCTAAATGTCTTGTAAGGTGTTGAATTTGTTGTAAGGTGCTAAATGTGTTGTAAGGTGTTGAATGTGTTGTAAAGTGCTAAATGTGTTGTAAGGTGTTGAATTTGTTGTAAAGTGCTAAATGTGTTGTAAGGTGTTGAATTTGTTGTAAGGTGCTAAATGTGTTGTAAGGTGTTGAATGTGTTGTAAAGTGCTAAATGTGTTGTAAGGTGTTGAATTTGTGTTAAAGTGCTAAATGTGTTGTAAGGTGTTGAATTTGTGTTAAAGTGCTAAATGTGTTGTAAGATGTTGAATTTGTGTTAAAGTGCTAAATCTGTTGTAAGGTGTTGAAGTCTAAAAACTTGTTTTTGTGATAGTTACCAACAAGATTCACCTACAAACGAAAAGTTCATTACATATTAATCATTAATAGTATAGGATTATTATCCATGTCCATTTCACTTTCTGGATTCATTTGCTTTGGAAGTAATGACAATGACTTTATGATTTTTAAATTATGTATTGTCTCTTTAGATGACAAAACCTAAATGCAAATACAGTACACAAAGTTTGAGAACAGCCATATAGGACAAAACATTATACACGAAGTAAGGGCATTTACAATCTAAAAATTAAATTTCAAGTTTTAAGACACGCAAACAAACAAAGCAAAAAAAAAGTTAATGCGCATATTAATAAGAGTTTCATTTTTTAAAGTGGACAGAAGCTTTTTCACATTTCATGACTGTAAGGCCAGTAATTTTTAACACTTTGTAGCTTTACTGTTTTGTGTGTTTCTTTGATGGTACTGGATCGCTTCCCGGAGGCCTCTTTGCTCTTTTGTCCACATGAGCATAGGGCGTTAGTGCGTTCAATGCTGTCGTTGGTAGTCCTGCTAAGATGTCGATGTTACCTTGTGCATCCGATTTTTCATGGGCCAGATTCCTAATGTCTTTCATCCACTCCCTTCTGCGCTGTCGGTAGTGGGTGAGTCAGAGGACACTGTGGGGACTGAGGATGTAAACCAAAAACATATTTATTTCAACGGAAAATGTGTATTGATTTGAAAGTGCACGTTTTAAAATGTCCTAGACCTAGAGCAGTGCTTTTGATTCCTTTTCTTTTTATTTGTACACCATGATAGTGTGTCCTTCTGACTCGAATTGACCATAAAAATATGCTGATGACCCACATCATCTGTCTCATCAGTAACAATGATGGATCTTATAGAGAGAGATCCAAAATGTGGCTAGTGGAGTAAACTAACAATCCAGCTGAACGCATCAAACACAATGTGACTGGTCTTCGACTGCAGTCGCTAATAGTCTCTATTTGTGTCGTCATCGCTAACTCGGAGCAGATTGTAGGAGGAGTGGCAAGTTTCTGGGTTTAACTCTGTTAACGACCTGAAATGGGTCAAAAAACACTGGCCGGGTCGTTAAGAAGCTCGTCAGCGTCTTACTTCTGCGTTAACTTGAGAATTTACCCTAACTCTAAGATTCTGCTTAAATTTTATCGCTGCACAAATACATTGAGAGTTTACTTGTTGGTTCTGTGTTGTGTGAGTTGGAAACATCCAGTAAAGAAAGAGAGCTTTAAACAAGGTGCCTCCGCTCTGCAAAAGAGGGACCGTGGGCTGTGAGCTTCTGTTCTGGAGGTTTTTATAAATCCTGATTTTAAACAAAGCTTTAGGATTGTCAATGACTCTTCTGGCACCTGGGAAAGCATGTTCCAGCTTCTTCCCTCGGCAGAAGATATCGCTCTCTGAGATGCAGGACATCTCTGACGCTAACAGTTTTTATCCACAAGCTGTTATCAGTTTGACCAGAGCACTTTTAATGATTTGCACTTGTTTTGAACTGTTTTAGTCGATCGATTTCACAGTGACATTGTCTGTTTTATTTGTTTTTTTTCTGTACTTTTAATGTTTTATGTCTGTGCTCATGGCTATTGCTACTAATAATCCTAATGTGGTGTTTTTACGCAAATGGCAAATAATTGAATATGAATCTGTGCTATCCCTGTCTAACCCTAAACTTAATGTTGTTGAGGGGGAAAAAACAATCTGTTCCACCTTACTACTGAGGCAAAATATTTTGGTTTGGGGCCACATTAAAAAGCGAGGTTGTAACCACCAACTAGGTCTATTACAGACCAAGATCACCCAACGCGCTTTACAATGTTCAGCGTTCAGATATTGTTTTATTATCTCCCCGGTGATGACAGAAGTTAGACGCGAAGCCACATCAAGACCCCAATACAAAACATCATTCATTCATCATTACATTCAGACTTATTGACATGTTTGTAGTGGTAGGGAAACCGGACGCATCGGAGGAACTACCGCCGACACGGGGAGAACATGCAAAATCCATCAGAAAATCCCTTGTTAACTGGGATTCGACCCTGACTCTGAGAAGCGCGAGCACTTTACTTTTTATACATAATTTATCTCAATATGAAGAACATAATGGAACTGAGGTAACATGGATCAAAAGTGGTTATTTAAAGCGGATAGACTAGTTATTAATAATTAATTAATAATTATTAATAATCTTCTAGGTCTTAAAACTATTTTAAGCAGCGTACCATTAGTAGTGTATTGAATTAGTCCAAATTTTTTAACAATGAGAAGAATAAGGCTGTTTATAGTGGACGCAGTGGAGTCACTCTGGTATCAACGGCAAACACGTCTGCGATGATACTAGTCTCACAAGTAATGAATGAACGGTTGTAAATATGCAATTGTGTGCATGTGTTGTGTATACTGCTCTTTTATTCTTAATATATCCACTAATTTGGAGTTTACTTAAAGTTTAAATGAAAATTTATAAATGTTGCTCATTTATATTCGTGTACCGGATCAATGTGAACTCTTAGAGGTTAGAGAAAATATCAGCTTTTTGCCACAGCACCTGGAGTTATGTTAAACCTTATGAATACGTATAACCTCCATTTAGTAGACTTCGGAGGGAGACATTACACCCAGACTTATCTTAACATTAAGCTCAATTGGTAAAGATTCCAACCAGCATATATTTGTGAGAGGAAACAAATAAAACAAGTTACAAAATGCTTTAAAGGACAACTCACCCTCAAAACATTTTTTGCTGATTAACGTAATAAATGTGTTGTGTACACATCCTGGTCATAATTTTGTCACTTTAGTGCAAATTAGTTGAAAGATCAACTTTCTGCCTAAAACCGTCAGTCAGGCGGCATCTGCAGGCGACCTGTATTTACTACCTTTGAATTTTGAATCTGGCGCCACCGTTGGGGGAGCCGTGATGGTTGCCCTGCCGCCCTAAGGTATATAAGCTGCCCCAGTCTCGTTCACGCCCCCGTAGAGAGTATTTTCATCGATTGTCAGGTTTGCGATTAGTTATAGCATTTAGGTAGATTTTTAATAGCATAGCTGTTTTTATTATAGATAATTGTGTAGTGTTAATAGCGTTGTTAGCTATTGTTGAATATTGTAGTTTTAGTCATTAGTTGTGGACATAGTCACGCCTATCTCCGCCGTTCTAACTAATGGGCCAAAAATTGGGCTTTCATGGAGTGATTCAAAATGGCCGCGGGGGCTGGAAAAAGTGAAAAAACGCATCTGCGCATGCGTCAGCCGACACGAGCCCCATTCATTTAAACGAGTGACTTCAAAAATTCACAGCGAGTGAACTAGAGTGCTCCAAAAAAATTCACCCCCCTCAGCATTGACACACATGTGGAACGGAGCTTTGGGCCAAGAGCCAACTTTTGGACCATCCTGTAAAGACGTTTTCGAGAGGTAAGAAGATGCTATATGTTAGCATTGGCTAATTCTTATTTCGGGTCCACCCCAGTCAGCCCGGGGTGGTATACTTGGCTTGCGGTCACGTGACGCATAAACTTCCGGTTGACGAAGTGGTGGTCAGGCCAGCTACAGTTTCTGCTGATATGTGGAGAAAATGCGACTCTTCTGAGCATTTCTTTGCTTTTTTGGATATTTCATGACACTTTGAAGCTACTGTGGTGAACGTTCTAACTCATCATTCTAACAATATGCACAAGGCAGAATTTTTCCACTACATGTTTTGGTAATATCAAGGTTGAAGCTACTGGCACCGGGGAAAATGCTAATATGCTAACAATGCTAATAAGTCTCCATTCCTCCGCTGTAAGTCACTTACATTCTGTAACGTCTTTGTTTATGCTGCCTCTACCATTGACAATACAATATGTCTTCTGTCTGAATTAAAGACACGATCCTAGACTGTCTTTTTCTTCACTTTAGATTCTAATCCACAGCTAGTGTTACAATCAAGCTTTTGCACTGCTAAACAAATGAAGGTTCGGATAAACACGGATACTGCAACTTTTCCGTCTGTCTGTGGGTTTAAGAACTCAGAGTTAAGGTCCTGAAGGACACATCCTGCATCGTAAAGAGCCGTGTAAGTAACGATCGGTGAAAGAACTTGTCATTCTCAACAAAACACTGCGTCTGTGGCTGTGTTCTTTTCAGGTCAAACATTCACAGTGTTTATTTAAA